TCAACTCTTCTGGGAAGGCTGTCCACAAGGTTTAGGAGTGTGTTTATGGGAATTTTTGACCATTCTTCCAGAAGCGCATTTGTGAGGTCGCACACTGATGTTGGACGAGAAGGCCTGGCTCTCAGTCTCCGCTCTAATTCATCCCAAAGGTGTTCTATCGGGTTGAGGTCAGGACTCTGTGCAGGCCAGTCAAGTTCATCCACACCAGACTCTGTCATCCATGTCTTTATGGACCTTGCTTTGTGCACTGGTGCACAGTCATGTTGGAAGAGGAAGGGGCCAGCTCCAAACTGTTCCCACAAAGTTGGGAGCATGGAATTGTCCAAAATGTCTTGGTATGCTGAAGCATTCAGAGTTCCTTTCCTTGGAACTAAGGGGCCAAGCCCAGCTCCTGAAAAACAACCCCACACCATAATCCCCCCTTCACCAAACTTTACACTTGGCACAATGCAGTCAGACAAGTACCGTTCTCCTGGCAACCGCCAAACCCAGACCCGTCCATCAGATTGCCAGATGGAGAAGCGCGATTCGTCACTCCAGAGAACGCGTCTCCACTGCTCTAGAGTCCAGTGGCGGCGTGCTTTACACCACCGCATCCGACGCTTTGCATTGCACTTGGTGATGTATGGCTTGGATGCAGCTGCTCGACCATGGAAACCCATTCCATGAAGCTCTCTGCGCACTGTTCTTGAGCTAATCTGAAGGCCACATGAAGTTTGGAGGTCTGTAGTGATTGACTCTGCAGAAAGTTGGCGACCTCTTCGCACTATGCGCTTCAGCATCCGCTGACCCCGCTCCGTCAGTTTACGTGGCCTACCACTTCGTGGCTGAGTTGCTGTCGTTCCCAAACACTTCCATTTTCTTATAATACAGCTGACAGTTGACTGTGGAATATTTAGGAGCGAGGAAATTTCACGACTGGATTTGTTGCACAGGTGGCATCCTATCACAGTTCCACGCTGGAATTCACTGAGCTCCTGAGAGCGACCCATTCTTTCACAAATGTTTGTAAAAACAGTCTGCATGCCTAGGTGCTTGAATTTATACACCTGTGGCCATGGAAGTGATTGGAACACCTGATTCCAATAATTTGGATGGGTGAGCAAATACTTTTGGCAATATAGTGTATCTATCTATATATATATATACATATATATATATGTATATATATATATATATATATATATATATATATATATATATATATATATATATATATATATATATATATATATATATATATATATATATATATAATGACTAAGACTGACTGAAGAATTTAAATATTTAGGCATTGATAAAAAAAAAAAGCTGTGATGGAACAAAAGCAGCATTTTATTCTGGTTAGAAGGTAACAAAGCTAATAAAAGAGGCCACCTCATCACATTTTGGCTACGTAATAGTTTCAGTACATTTTTAAACACACTGTCGTCTCTTGGTTCTTATATGTGAAAATGGTTCCAGGCTTAAAGGCCTGGTTAGTCTTGTGGTGTCAGTGTGGTTTTGTGCTGTATCGGTATGTCCTCTGATGAATCACATGATGAAACACAAAGCTACTTTATTACGTTTAAGAACAGCAGATAAATCATCCAGTGTCTTCACGTATTATATGGAAACTGTCTTGAGGTGATTAAAACACTCTGTCAGTCACAATTATGGAGACTAATAAGCATGACATGGTCATAGTTGGACTGGCTCATGCATGTAATGACAATGCTTGATTGCTCGGTTTCCCTGATTAGATAAAGGTTATAACACTACTTTGAGCCACTGCAGCATTATCCTCCGCTGAGTCGTTGTGTATTAAATTTTCCTCCACCCTCTTTCATTTCCTGTTCATGTGCTAATTTTGTTCAACACGTAAACATCGCTTGCAATAACAAAACCCTTCAAATTCCATCCACAGTTGGTGAGTCACAAAGCCCTCACGAAATATAGACTACATTATTTCCACCACTGAAGGAGGCTGATTGTGGCTTTATTTAGTTTTAAATCAGACTGTATATTTGATGTGTTTTTAAGCTGTCTAGACTGGAATTTAAAGTATGAAATAGGCATTGATGTCTTATAACTTTGTGGTTTGGGGCGTCATTATCAGGCAATAAACATCTATCCATTTTCTCCTGCTTAGTCCTTTTCAGAGTTGCGATGGGGCCGGTGCCTGTCTCCAACAGTCTACGGGCGAGAGGCAGGGTACACTCTGGACAGGTCACCAGTCTGTCGCAGGGCAACACAGAGACAAACAAAAGTGCACGCAAACACTCACACATAACAAACAGAAGCCGGAGTACCCATAGAGAAACCACACAAGCACAGGGAGAACATGCAAACTCAATGCAGAAAGACCCAGGACTGGGAATCGAACCCGGGATCACAGTCATTGTTTTGATGATCAAATTTAAAAAAATTTATATTGTTGTTTTTCTTTAAGCAACAGATGGTCAAAATTATGCGTATAGGTTTAAAACAACTAACCTGTAGACGATGCAGACGGTTGTAGCCATCAGCAAACATCTATGATACTTCTGGATGGATCGGTTGTTTTCTTAGGAAGGATAGATGATACTTTATTAGTCTGTTCTGATCAGGAAAGTTCTCTAAGCATGATGTTAGTCTGTCCTATACATCCCAAAAACAATTTGGGTTGGTTTTGGAAATTGTCCTGTTGTAACACCGTTCTATGTGTAAATGTAACCATTAACCTGTCATGATTTTACTAAGGTTCAGACCCAAACGCAGAAGACCAAACAGGGAGACCAGGGGAAAGGTTTAACAGGTTTTATTGAACAGACAATTCAGAGAGAAGTGTTGCTCTGAAAACTGCTCAACCGGAGCTGAAAAGTGAGGGGAAGACACAGCGGTTAGTTCAGGATCAGTGGGAAATTTGACTTGTGAACTTGGAGAAGAGGATTTGGTTGCTGACTCACGTTTCCAGAGAAGTTGTTGAATCCTTGACTCCAGTATGTATGCTGTAGTTCCAGTGTTTGTCTGATTCGGTGGAGGGCGGAACAGGGTTTACCCAGAATGCGGTTGTTAGTAGGTGAATGGAGAAACTGACTGCCACTCAGATTTCCTGCGGTACTTGAATGGGTCGTAGTGGAGATTAATCCCTTTCTCAATGCGAAGCTCAAATGATCTCTTGGGGAAAGTGGATCAAAACCTCCTGTTTGAACCCCAGCTTGGTTTGTAGCTCAGTTGATCCTTCATGGGAGAGAAAATCTGAAAAATCCAGTTTGCAGGATGACTTTCCAAAACTGGCAAACACTCTGGCGTCGAGGTAGTGGCAGTCAGCAGCTTAAGACACTTCGTTTAATGAGGAAACCATCAGCAGGTGTGTGAGGAGGCAGACCAGAACCAGGCACCTCCTGTTGGAGGAAGGGAGACAAACACACAAACACAATCGCACAGACAGGAGTCCTGACACAACCATTGGTTTGAGATTGAAGGATATAGAGACCAGTGAGAGCAAAACAGACTGTCAATATTATGCTACCACCAACATGTTTGATAATTATACAGAATTAGTGCGTTGTTTGATTAGTGGGATGGCCTCAGCCTGATTGCTTCAAGCATTGTTCTCATTATTCTGGCCAAAAAGCTCAGTCTTTGTCTCATCCGGCCATAAAATCTCTTCCAAAAGGCCCTGGGCTTGTCTGTGTGTACAGCTGGGTTTTAGTTGCCTTTAAGTTTTAGTGGCTGAGCTTCTTTCTTGGTCTTCCTGCAGTGTTGGATTTATATCAGCCCTGAGCTTTGGAGGACCCTGGGTTCTCCTGAACTTCTGAACCCAGCTTCTTTTATTTTGATAATGATTTGGGTCAGGTTTCAACAGGATAATCTTCTGAAAATCTAATCAAAACTGTTTTTGGATGAAGCAGATAAGGCTTTTGAAATTACCTGCCCATACCACTGACCTTATCCAAACTGAAAGGAAGTGATCTGTGCCAGAAAACCAACCAATTGAGATAAAAACTGTTTTTGTCACCTACATATAGCTCATGGCCCAAGTGCTACTTACTAAGGGGTATTGAACTCAATCTCATGGTGGCATATATGCAACTGTAATTATAAATTTCCCTTTTTACTGGAAATCCCCTTTTAAATATAAAGTTGTGCGCCCAATTCTTAATATACACTCATTAAAGGTGATTATGATTGTATAAATATTCCAACATTAGAGATGGTTCAGATAAATCATTTATACTATACAATACTAAACCCTATTATGGAAGCAATATGTAATTTAATATATGGATAATAACCAGTTATAACAATAGTTACCTTGTCCTTACATAGAATACATTTCCTGTTGTAAGGTTTGGTTTTATAATTAGCGTGTTGAGATAATTAGATTTGGAAAGTAATTTTTCTGCATGAATTTGTTAGTTGGTAGTTTTTTTGTTTGTTTGTTTTGTTTAGTCTTTAAATTCCAGGATTTTTTTTAGATTTTTTTTTTTTTAAACACCTGTGTACCCTTAAATCATTGAATGTTTACTTAGGTTACATTTCATGGAGTATTGAACCATAAATATTCTTTCTTTATGGGCCATAAAGCAACGTTTTTTTATAATGGTGTCGGTTCCTCCATCTGCTCAGTTTGTTCAATCTATTCTTCATAAAATCTAAGAAATTTCTCAGCTTCTTTTTATAAAAAAAATAAAAAATGACTGAACACGGCAGCAAAAAAAAAAAACTTTGAAAATCCAGCCTTTTTAAGCAAGCGTTCTCGCTCAGTTCCATCCAACTACTTATCCTGAATCAGATTATGCTGAAACCCTGTTAATGGCAAAGCTGTAGAAACGATTTAAGCGAATCTGATCTAAGATCAGCGGCAGAGAGGAGTAATCGGAGAGGAGAAATTGGAGCAAAGAGAACCATGACCCCGCCCCCTGTCCGCTCCCTCGTCCAATCACTGCTCTTCACCCACAGCAGTCTGCCCCTCTATTGCTCCACAGCGGTACGAGCTCAGCCAATCAGCTCGTGCCTCCGCTGCTTACATCACTAACCAGCCAGTTCCCTCCAGCAGCAGCAGAGCTTCATTTTCTGATCTGCTTTTGTGCTAAAATGGAGGTTGGCCTCTCGCCCTGAGTGGATCGCCTTCCTGGTTGGGCTTTTGATGTTGACATGCAATAAATCTTCAGACAGGATGGTTGTGGATGCTCCCAATTCCAACGGGCCTTTCCAGCCGGTGGCTCTTATGCACTTCAGAGGTATGTGAAGAGAAATGAATCCTCCTGTATTGTCCCAGGGAATCGGGAGCTGTTTTGCTGTGTTCCTGCCCCACTGGAAACCGCCTGATTAGCCAGCAGCACTCGGCTACTTTAGAAGGGGAACACGGTGTCTTTGTTTCGGAGAAAGTCTTTTATATCGGATAAGAAATTGTGAAAAGGTGGTCGGACATTAGCGTAAAGCTTTAAGAGGCGGAGAGCTGTATAGAAATCTGCTTTACTAGCTAGCTGCTCTCTGCCCATCCCCTCCCCCCCACCGAGTCAGTGATGTCAAAGGAAGTGAGGTCATAACGAAGGGAAGGGCCTCTTTTTAGTTTTTAATATTGTTGTTTGTTTGCTTTCTGTGGGTTTTTATTATATTTGCCTTGTCATTTATTGTAGCCGAGGAGAAATGATTATAAAGATTGTGAGCTAAGGTTTTAGCTTCCTCACTTCACTGCTTCAGTGAGCCAAGCATTCATCTCACACTCCAGTTAATCTGGGCACACATTGGTCATAATGTGTAGGCTGAGGACAGCAGCCTCTCTGCAAAGCAGCACTGCACCTCTCCTCGGCTTCATAACTCCTTCTTAATTGTGTGTTTTGGTAAACCAAAAAACAACATATTTTTAGCTATAGTAACGGTACTCTGGTTCTAGGATTGTCTAACAGTCTTAGTGTGTAAATGCTAGAGTCTGGTTGTTTTTGAAATGTGTGCACAGTTTCTTCAGTCACATCTGAAAGGCCTGGTTATTTCCACCCAGTGTTGGATGGATCCCTATAGGCAATCATTGATTTCTCTCCATTGAACCAAAGAGGCGAGTGGCTTGAATGATGACTCTGTTGGGGAACAATCAGGCTCTCCCTGCGTCACTCTGTTAGTGTGGCTTCAGTTTAACCAAATGTTTTGTGTCTAATCCCCAAACTTGTATTCTTTCGATTCAGGTTGACTATTTTGACTTGAGGTGCACTGATCAGTTATTTATTAATTTTTTTGGATGATCAACAGATGATTACGATTATGACTTTTTTTTTTTTTTAATCATTTACTTTAACCTCAGTTGCATTATTTAATGCTGAGCTTTTGTTTCAGTGTCATAAGGAGACAGGATTTAAGGAAATATTCTAATTACAGCTAATTGACATTACACAATTTGACCAGCAGATAAGCCAGGTTATCATATTTTCTTTTTAAACTGGTCAAAAAATATCATTATATATGTGCTGCAGCTTAAGTGACTCCCTGTGACACATTTGTTTCTTTGTATTTGTGACAGTGTAATGATAATCAAGTTGAGTTGTATTCTATTCTGTGCCACATGTGCATCATTGGTACAGAATCCTTGGAAGGATGACTGAAACCGCACAAAAATGACCCAACCAAACCGTTTCATAATCTTGTGCTATGTTGTCTAGACGACTCACTCGTGATTTAAGATGTCCGGTTTACCTTCAGATAAATAGGTTGCCACCTCAACAGCCCCTCTAATAGTTTTCAAACTTTTCAGATAAATTCATTTTCTACTGGGACATAAAGCTGAAATATCACATAATGTTGTTGTTTTTGTCTCAAACTGTTTTTTTTTTTTATATACTCATGATGTGATGGAAAAATGGATTATACATAAAGGCCAGTTATGTTCACACTGCAGGCCTTGATGCTCAATTCCGATTTTTTGTGAAATACGTTTTTTTTGTGTGCTGCCGTTCATATTTCCATATATATGTGACTTGTATGTGATCTCCTGTGTGAACTGCAGTCATACAACGCAGGTGTCCAGCATGCGCAGTAGAGGACGCAGTGACATCACAGGCCAGCGTGCTCTGTGTTTACGGAAGTAAACATGGATGGTGGTGCCGGAGCTCATCCAGCGATCTTTCCCAACCATAAAAACACAATCTTTTCAAGATGGTTAAACATAAATGCTACTCTCCGCACCACTGTCTGCAATAGTTGTTGTTGCCGCTTCTTCAAAGCAAGACCCAGAACAGTGACCTTTGTCGGGTATTAATGGCGTTCAAGTCGGATGAATGGGACCTGGCCGTTCAGACACAGGTCATATTTGAAAAGCTCAGGTTCGTATCGGATTCAGGAACACATAGCCAAGTGGCCTGGGTCGGATTGGAAAAAATCGGATCTGTGTTGTTCAGACTGATATGACAAATCAGATCCAGGTCGCATATGGGCACAAAAATTTGGGTCATTTCAGGCTGCAGTGTGAACAAAGCCAAAGAGTCAGCTGCATTGTCGTTGTGCACATAGTGTTGTATGAAATGCATCAGAAATACATATTTGTTCATTTTTCTCTATATATGTAAAATTATAAAAGGTTATTCTCCTCAAATAGCATTTGGTATGATTATTAATTGTTGAATCAAATAATCGAAAAAAGAGCCATTATTTTGCATAAAAATTGTTATTTTCTTAAACTTTATTATTTTGGTCTTAAAGCAAGTTCTATATTAAGCGAACTGAGGCATATTTATAACAATGTGTTGCAGTCTTACAGCGGTGCAGGTCATATGTCAGAGAAAAACAGAAAAGCAGTCAAGTCTGATCGGTGTAACTCTACCCCTATAGAGTCATATTACCATTGGATCGATATGTAACCCAAGTTGAGCCATCTGCTACATCATCTTTTTCTCAATAAGGAGAATACCTAAAAGGGGTTGTTACAATTATTTTCCTAAAGAGTTCTGACTTAAATAAAATGTTTGAAGGGCGTGAAGCCAGCTGATAACTTGAAGTAGTAAAGGAAACTGTCCTGATGACGGTCACAGTTTCTTTCTCCATATCTAGACTTCCTGGATGAGATCCAAACCCCTAGAATGGATGTCAGTAGAACACTCGTTGTTTGGACTGAGGGTAGTTCATTGAATTGGCTTCATTATTCACTTTTTGAGAGGAAAAATATAAAATATAACTACAATCATGTTTTAAGCTTTGCTTAAAAAGTGAAAAGTTCAATCTCTCAGTCTTGTGCTTTGATTATAACCATCAGTGATCAGTAAATCTTTTGAAAATACAAAGGTTTTCAGTCCTGAGCCGACAGTTTCTGAACGGCTCAGTTGTTTAGGGCGTAAAAAAAAAAAAGGAAATTGGAGTTTGCCATAAAACTGCATCCTTTTACTAAGTTCTTTCAGCTGTTGTGAGAGAAAACGCTTAAAGAATTGGTTTAATATATAATTTTGTTACTCACTACCTTTTTTTTTTTATAAGATTAATTTTCGTTATTTCCTCTCTCAGTATAGCCAGAGGTGTAGCTGTGGGTGGTAATGATGCAAAAAAAATTCAGGCATTTCTGGTCAGTAATGAAAAATCTGAAAAAAGGACCAAAGTTAATTTATAAATGTCTGTAAATGAGAAAGTAAAACAAAAGCTAAAATTGGGGAATAAGAAATACTTCCAGACTGTGGTTATTTTCCTTAAGGGTTACAGTTTGAAGTCACTGGGAGTTATAGAAATATTTTGAAAAGACATCCATTGCTTTTTACTTGCCAACATCCAGAGTTTTTGTCCAACTCTTTCATCATCTTGGAGTGTTCAATCACTGGCAGAACTTAAATGTAATTATAAACTAGCAGAAACTTGAAAGGGGTCTTTTTATTTTATTCAGTTAGGCCCCTAAACCAGGGCTGCACTATATTAGTCAAACCTGTGATCTGCAATAACAGTGTTCCGTTACAGTGTTGAAATGAACCTTTTTGTCTTGCAACCTGAATACTTACTGCATCTGGAAAGTATTCACACAGCTTAACTTTTTCCACATTACTGCCTTATTCCAGATTGTATTGATTGCATCTTTTTCCTGTGCGATGCTGTGAATACTTTATCGGATACACTGTCAACATGCAGCATTGATGTCTTTCTTCTCTGGGTTCAAGGAGAAGAATAGCCTTACATCACAGGACATGCTTGGTACATCTGTGAAATGGTGACACGGGATAAGTAATTCCATGACAGGGTGCGGTATCTCCGGTTTGTTTTATCAGACTTACAAACCCCTTTCTTCTCACTGTATTGATGACCATCCTGACCTTAGCCAAAAAAACACACAGCTGTGTTATTCATTTGTAACACTTTGATGTTTTACTACTTGCATGACTTTGACACACAGACAACTGTAGAGCTGAACTTTTTTTATGTGACACTGATCTGCACCAAGCCGGTAGGCCCGAAGGTGCACGGTGTCACAGCCGCACACTGACAGGTGTGCTTTGGGTGGCTGTGGGGTGAACAAACAGCTCTATATGCTTAACTAGCTCCCATTGACAGAAACTATGGAAATTGTAGGAATTTTCCATAAAAAATGTTGGAAAATGGTACGCTCCACTATGAAGGTGAAAACTTTGATGGACAGTACATGGTTGGTCTGTGCAGCTCACGGTATGCATTACATAAGTATTAGGGATGGGGCGATTTATGAAAACTGTCCGAACCGTTCGGTTCGACTGTCTCGGTTCAATTCGCGTGTGTTTCATTCGGTTCATGCGCTGCTCCTTTTTCTCATAGGCAAAGCGTTTACACTCCAGAGCAGAAGGTGGCGGTACTGTGACCAAAGCCAACCACCAGGGGTAAACAAGAAGAAGAAGAAGCGAAGCAGCTTAGCCGGGTGTAGTAGGGGAAAAAATCAGTTGTTGTGGAGAATTGTGTCGGAATGGCGAGTGGGAAAGAACAGGAGTTGGAAGACGGGCCAGCAGCACTTTATAGGTCTGCTGTATGGGACCACTTTGCATTTAGAGTGACCTACGATGACGGCGGAAAGAAAGTTGTGGATAAAAGTGCAACAGTGTGCAAGCATTGTGCAACACGTTTTCTTTATGCTAACAGCAACATGACCAACATGTCATGCTAACCCCGAAATCCCTCATACTCCGTCAGCAACCCCCGCTCTGCCCCGCTGAGCACCGGCTGCTCAAAGCAAAGCCTACAGCCCCCACTGTGGCTCCCGTCCGCTCCCCTCTGAGTCCCTTGGAGATCGTAGAGAGCATGCGTGAGATGA